AGAGATTACGAATAAGGTCAATCTTTGAATAAATTCTTAAATGCTTCAATAATAAATCATCCAAATAAATAAATAAACCAATTACCGTAAACTCTCGAATTTAAGCAACCCTCGAGAATAAGCAACCCCCCCCCCCCTTATCAAAAACTATTATATAATAGATTAATACAAAATTTGCAGTACGAAAGTTTGGATTTGGAAGGGGTATTTGAAATTTTTTACATTGATCAATTCGATCTGCGTAACGTTGCGATGCATAATTTGATGTTACGCAACCCCCACAAAAATCGATCAAAAAACGATGACGTAGGGGGTTGCTTAAATTCGAGAGTTTATGGTAATGATTCACCAATTAAATTCGAATCATGTAGATCATGTGTTTGCAATCGGATTGGTCAGACTCGAACGTTACATTTGATCCCCATATCCCCATAACGGCGACCGGAGGGCGCAGTCATGTGATTCTCGAAATTTTGACTATGTTTGTTAATGTCGTGTTCTAATTCGCCTGGAATAGGAAAATTTTAATTTTTTCCGGCAAAAATTTGTGATCAATTTTAATTATTTGGAGGCTGTAAGTGTTATTGCATCGCCGCACAATTATCTTCTTTAGGTCGCAGTTTTGACATTATTTTCAAGTTCAAGTGTGTTATAGTGATTGTTATATTCACTTTTTCTTTTTTGATATAATATCATAATGGCGTCTTCACAGGAACATGTAGCTTTAGAGGGTTTTTTCGCTAACATAGGATTAGCAAAACTTGCTTATCATTGGCCAGTTCTTGTGTTATCCGCATTAACATGTAACTTCACAGTTGCTTTTTCGCGGTTTATTTCACCTCTTCTCTTTCCGAGAACTTATAATGCACTTAAAGGATATAAACGGTTCGCTTGGGACATGCATGCAGTGAGCATGCTTCATTGTGTACTAGTTGTGGTACTCTCGTTTCACTTACTTTTTGACGAGAACCTTTTGCGAGATAAAGTATTTGGATATGACGCATACGCCGGGAACGTGTATGCAATTGCTTGTGGGTGAGATATTAAAGACTATCATCTTAACTATGTCTCGTTAAGAGGTCGAATAATAAATTGTATCTCTTGATGCAAAGGTATTTTTTTTGGGATATTTTCGCGTCATTATATCAAGCGCGTGATAGTGGATATGCATTTGTATTGCATGGCGCGTGTTGCTTTGGGGTTTATATATTTGCGTTTGTAAGTGGTATTTTATTTTAAGAATGATTATCGAATTTTATGGTTTGCATATACATGTGTACGTATCTTCGTCATTGCCATACATGATTATGACGACGATGATAATTTTATAGTCAGTAAAAAGAAATACCTGTTTTTATTATTTAAGCGCCCATTTTTGAATTACTATGGTGCCGTGTTTTTAATGTTTGAACTCTCCACTCCATTCCTAAACATTCATTGGTTTATGGTAAGTAATTTATTTATTTATTTATTTGGATGATTTATTATTGAAGCATTTAAGAATTTATTCAAAGATTGACCTTATTCGTAATCTCTCAGGATAAATTGGGACTCACTGGAACACTATTTCAATTGATCAATGGTCTGTTCTTAATCTCCACATTTTTCGGTGCGCGGATCGTGTTTGGATTGTACATGTCTGTTCAAGCCTTTGGTATTGTGATTTCCTTTTTTATTTTTTTTTCTCGGAATGAATAGCTTGATTGATTCTTCAATATTATTAATTCATCATATTCACAATTTAGTGTCAGTAAAAGCTGTGATATCACAAGTTCCAGTATTTTTGTGTGTTATTTATGGTGTCGCAAATGTGTTACTGAACTCCTTAAATATCTACTGGTTTGTGAAGATGATAAACGCGTTAAAAAGAAGATTCAATAAAGGGGTGGACAAAGATGATCATCACTCAAAAGGCAAAGTAAAAAAGATACGTTAATAGAGTGTGTCTGCCTTTTATTTTCTTTTTTTATTATGCCGTGTGAGTTCGATAGACAAAAGTTAGAACTAATGGGATATCATCTTGGTGAATCGTGCGGATAAATAGGAACGTTTAGATTTGGTTATAGAAAATTAGGCCAAGTTTCACAAAATCATCATGATGAGAAATTAAATCAAGATTCTCAAAATCATCATCAAAGTGAACTTGAAAATCAGGACAATACCAAAAATTCTATCCAAATGTAATGATCATTTTCATTTTTTTTTTTTACATATATTATTCTTTATTTTTATTCTGTATTTCCTTGTATTATTATTAAAATCATTATTGTATATATACGTAAGATTAGAGAATTAATAGATTCTTCGAACTGACTTTTTCATCGACGCGGTCACGGTCTATTAGATT